CATGGGTGACTCCATACTAGAAGTTTCGCAGCTGTTTGGAGGTGACATGAATTCCAAAGGTCTTCTCCAGTCAGGCTGCGACTGGAGATGACTTCATATTTTGGTGTACATGAAGGTGATGGGCGAGAGCCAGCTCCTGCTTATCGAGGAACATCTTGGGTATCTTCCGCCCTGGTACTCGTATCCACGTCTTCTGTCTGGGCTGCGAAAACTTTGCTGATATGTGACTCGGTCGAAGTGACTTTTTTGGCCCCCCTGTATATAGGATGCGCTTGAAACAGGGAAAGAACCGGTATTTGGAACATTTTCCCAGGCTAACTACGATCTCTGCCCGTTGGGAAACTGCAACATACGACGCCCCTTGGCTGGCAGGACCAACGTACCAAAGCCGCATTCTTCTGCGACACATGGAGTGTATAATTTTGTTCGCTACAGGTGCTCTCGTGTGTTAGGGGGCTATGTTTGGTGCGGCGCCAACCTGTTCTCCACTAACTGTTGAAGAAAGCATTCAAGAACAATCGGTGGAAAAGGGGATGGCGCTGCGCCAAGCCCAGCCCTCCTGACACCCTCCTCAGATGCAGGGAACAAGGCTGTACATTGATTGCTGACTTACTTATATAGAATTTTGTATGCCATGGGTAATTCTTTCCGGCGTCCACAGACAGCTTCACATCTACAATGCCGATCCTGAAGACGGTATTGGTTGGAATCACGCATCGAGCCATTACCATATCGATCTGAAATATTCATGTAATATCCCAATTTCATAGTACCCAATCAAGCGGACCCCTCATAGTCGTCGACCAACTCTGCGATTTGCGATGAGGTCCACTTCTCACGATTTTTGTTCTCTCTTCGCACTGAGCTCGAGTTCGAAGATCGGTTCTTTTTTTTCTACTTTTCGAGTCCCTTGCGCAGCGCGATCATCAGTCGCCGACTATGAACGCCACCTTGGAGTCCGATTACCGCAGAAGGAAAAACGTACCCTTTCGCAATCGATCGTAATTTCATCGAACTGCATTTTGATGACGTCAGATGGACGAAGGCAGGGACCTGTCACATTTAGCGCGAATCCACCAAGCATGTTACCGTACTGTTGCGATAGCTCCATGGTCCCTTTAAATAGTCCAGTGTTACTATAAAAAGAGGTAATTAGAAGCATTGTTACCTGTACTATCATTCGTACATCCGCCGTATTGGATCTGCTCATCGATTCGTGCCAGCCAACGTCCAGCTACCTAGAATGAGCTCTCTGAGAATTCTGGTGGGCTATAAGTCGATGGATACCTGAGTTGAGCCGAACTGGACGAGCTTAGAACCGGTACCGTTGCCACCGTTGAATCCCACCTAAAGAGTAGTGCAACTTTGGGCGCAATCAACTTGGAGGGGACATTTTGCTGGTTCAATCATTCTGATGCCTCCTGTAGAGAATTCCTGTGGAGCTATACAATAGCACGAGTTTCGTTTACCCTTGCCAGGAGTGCAAGTTTAACCATGGTAAGATGTATACACTAACAGGAAACAAACAAAAGAAAAAAATGCAAAAAGTCCCTCCCCAAGCCGAAAGGCGGCCAACTTTCTATTACCAGTTTAATTACGTTTCCAGCGGACTACAATGGTTTTTCTAGAGCACTGCATCGCTTTCAAAGCTCAGAACAGACAACTCCTCTGGGCGGTGTCCTCCTACTAGGCGCGCGGTCCTCAACTGGTGAGCTGCTACCTGTCCCGGATGCGAAGAGTTATGGCGAACCGATGAGAAAGCAGCAATTTCAGGGTGACTCCGCCGCGATATCACCGAGTATCAACCTGCGTCTTTGAAAAGCTGCAGCTCCCTTCGACTAGGTTTACGTCTTGGAAACACTGCAGTTCCCTCCGATAAGATTTTTCGCTCACCAAGGCGCTCTGTTTGCCTCCTCTTCCTCGAGTGAGGGCTCCACTCTGTGAAGAAGACGTCCAGTTGATATTTGCATAGTTCAGCATACAGTACGTGCGGATTTCGTCCGTCGCCAGCACCATTTGGTAGGTATTTTGCTGGAAATCAACCGGTGACAACATGCGTATTTGAATGGCAAAAAATTTATAAGGTTGAAGGGGAATGATCGATAATTTTCTGAGGGGATCGTCATTTTGAGGCTCCCCTAACATTGGGTGGGTGCATTCAACCATTGTTCCTTCCTTATTGGTGAACTTCTCCCTGGAAGATGGTGAAATGGAGAGAAGGGCCAATGAGAAAGAGGCAAAGGTACGCTAGCCACGCCCATACTATCATCGCGGAACTTATCGCAGCTGTAGCGGCTCCAACTAATTAGCAAGAAGCCCAGGTGAATCACTTAGCATAGAACTTGCCTGCCTACCTATTTAACTAGGAAAATAATCAAAAAGGTGACAAGAAGCTGTCGGAACCACTGAGATCCTTGTGGATTGACCGCTTCTTGAATAACCCTATGTTCAACGTACCCATCGTTTCGCTTGTTCGTACTTGCTCATGTCTGTGACTTTCGGAGCTCCGCCGTAGCTCATTCGCTCCCATGTCACCAAAAGCGCATAGTCCGCCTTCCATCCACGAGCACCAACCATTGAATGACGAATATCTCTGAAGATACAGGGAGGTTGAGATGGCACTAAAGAGGAACTTGACCCTTTTTGTAAGGTGCCGAAGTTCCATTGGCTGGCTAACTCACCTTGTGA